GAAGAAGAATTTTCCCACAATGATATGAGTTGAGCTGACGTTTTCATTGAATTTCACATAGTCTTGCATTCCCAAAAGTTTTTATCATCCAGTCCACTGGTGCCTGGATAAGAAAAACTTTTGGAAATGCAAGACTATGTGAAATTCAATGAAAACGTCAGCTCAACTCATATCATTGTGGGAAAATTCTTCTTCTACCAGGCCTTCATCACCTTAAACGAAATCGGGTGAATACATCTCATAGAGCTAGTTTGGTTGATATAGTCGTTTCCCTAATGCATTCCTAATCGTAGCGACCAACATGGGCATAAAAGACCTACGAGTTCTACATTCACACTTTTATTTTCATATTTTATGGGAATTTCAGAGGAATGAACGCCGGCCAGGTCCATGTTGGGGGCACTAAAAGATCTGCTTATCTCTGTCTGTTAAATGGCCGAGATCGACATAATAGATCAACAATTATGGTACTACTCCAGACTAGCGTCAAGTCTAAAAACAACTAAATCATATAAATCGGTTAACCTGTCGATCTCCGTGACTTGTTGGACACGGATTACTTCAGTCTACCCAAGCTGGAATGACGTCTTTTTTATAACATTAATATATTTATTTTCTAAAAAAATCAAAAATATGGAACTGGAAAAAACAGACTTATTGCTAAGTTTCGATGTGGAATAAAATTTATACAAATATCTCTGGAGAAAATACGTTAACGGCCCTGCTTCAATTGCTGTACCGAGAGGAGGATATCCTGGAATCACAACAGATCGGTAGGGAGTTGTTAACAAGACTAATCAACTTGACAATAAGGACAACCTAATTTACATTCAACGGGAACATCTATGGAGAAATATTTGGACTTCCCATGCGATCACTGCTCTCATCACTTTTGGCCAACGTATACATGAAGAAAATAGAAGAGAACTTCAAGATGGCACCGATACAACCGACAGTGCTCACGCGGTAACTGGATGATTAATTGACACTTTAACACATGGAAAATAAAAACTTAAAGAGTTTGTGAAGTTTGTAAACCAGATTTATGGGAAAATTCAATTCACGATTGAAC